GAGACCTGGTTGCAGAAGCTGGTTGCCCAGGTGGGTCATTTAAACTTCAGGTTAGAGGAATCTTGTTTGGTGGCCTGGGTACATTGATATATCAAGTTAGGACTCCATTGTGGGTATGCCTTGGTGCCTGGGGCACCAATCAAATATAGATCAGTAAAGAGTTAAGCTATATAGTTATATCATAGGTGGTCAAATCTAGAGCAGAACTTGACAAAATTTCACACAACACTACCCAGTTCTACAGGACAACCTGCTTCAGGTTATGGCACATATAAGAAAAAACTCATGTGCAAATAGACACGAAGGGACAAGTTTAGCCAGTGTATAGATAAACTTGAGATGGAATGTTTGTTTAGACATGTGCATTTTCTCTCCGAACCTCGGTTTCCCCATCTGTGGAAAGGGCTGGGAAGATGTTCAATAAATATCATTTTCATTTTTATTACCACAAAGACATGAGGGTTCTCCTCAAGCTCAACCCCCAAATATTAAGTCACACTGTTATAATAGTACTGTGTCTTCCCACTGAGAAGCACTCCAAGGGCTTCAATGATGAAAAAAAATTTTAGTAATGGCACACACCAGTTCTGCCTAATGCACAAAGGGCACCAAGCCATGAACAACCCCCCGCCCCATTAGCTTCTATAGTTTCTTAGCACCAAGTTATATTTTGAACAATTAAACATGTTTAATTGTCGTAGCTATCCCCAGACAGTCTGGAACTGCTTTTCCAGAGAAACTGTTAACCAGGGTCACCCCATCTGCCTGGCAGAACTACAATCTTCCTGAGGCACCATCTGCCAGGGTCGTCTTCTCTAAACTGCCTGGCAGAGGCAGCACTCCTTTAACTAAATCTTACTTTTGTGTAATTTAATATTTTCTAGGCGAGTTTATTGGTTAGTCTCTTACAACACCAATTTGTCACCTCTGTTTCCTCCTTTAGCATTGTACAGGGTCTGATTTCTGAGCAGTGGAGATGAGCACTGACATGTTGGGGAGATGACCCCTGGCATGTTGCATTAGGCTGCCATTGCTTTGCAGTGGTCTAACTCTACAGGTGTGGCTTCTACCTGTTCAAATCCTTTTGAAACAGTCTGGGTGATAAGCACAGAATGTGGAGTAGATGCTTTAGAATAACATCCCAGGACCCCTCCAGTTACACTCAGAAGAGAAAGAGCAACAATCCAGAGACATGCCTTAGCATGGCCCCAGCCTAGTAGTCATTTTTCAGGGTCTCCCAAGAGAGAGAGAGAGAGCATCCTCTTCAGTGTGTGTGTGTGTGTGTGTGTAAGAGAGAGAGAGAGAGAGAGAGAGAGAGAGAGAGAGAGAGAGAGAGAGAGAGAGCACTTTTTCTCTCTTGTTTCCAACAGTCTGTCTGTTTTGCCTCTTTGTTATTTCTTACAGAAACGCTCCCTCTGTCCATTTCCTCTGATCTTCTAAATTGAAGCCTTTTTTGAATGCCTGAATGGATAGAGTGGGTGCTGTGGGATTGTGGAGGGTGCCAGAGACACAGGTTGAACCCTGCAGTCATGGCAAAGGTGAGCTGTGCACCGTATGGAGGCGGGATGCACATTCCGTAGGCTGAGGTTGGTAAAGGCAGGATGAATGGAGCCAGTGTTGTCTTCTTTTCTTCAGGCTTTCAGCCCTAAGCTGTGGAGCAGGCAAGGCATCATCAGAGAAAAGGCAGGATGAGAAAGTGGCGGATCTGCTTTCGGCTCTCCTTGCAGGGCTGAAATAGGATTCTTTGCTTTCTCCAATGTCGCTCACATCATGCTTCAAGCTAGTCTAGAATCATCATGAGCACTATTAGATAGAAAACAAATCAGTTCTTTAGAAGGAGGCGTATGTGCTGGGAGTGTGGCTCAGTGACAGAGCAGGTGTATAGCATCTGTAGAGCCCCAGGGTCCCTCCTTAACACTGAACACAGCAGGGAAACAAGCTAGTGAATTGATGTTGCTTGTCATATGTAACATTACTAAATGTTAATAATTCAGTATTGTACCTGAGTAGGGGTGGAGCACACCTTTAATCCCAGCCATTGGGAGGCAGAGGCAGGCCGATCTCTGAGTTCAAGGCTAGCGTGATCTACAGAGTGAGTTCTAGGACAGCCAGAGCTATACAGAGAAACCATGTTTGCAGCAGCAGCAGCAGCAGCAGCAGCAACAACAACAATCCAGTGCCTTATTCCTGAAGATGATTTACTAGTGAGGAATCCAGTGTCTGATACAGGGTATTGTAAGAGAGAGGTAGACACTTCCTTGTCATACCGCATGACTGCTTTGCTAGGCAGCTTGTGGATGAAATAACAAAAGCACCATTCTTACTCCTAGGTTGCACAGTGCTTTTTGGTCTAACCATTGGCATTCACTGTCACAAGAATCCCTTCTTCATTTTGGTCCTGGTTCAGGTAGACTGAGGTAACCACCCTCTTACTGTGCATTCAAGCAGTCTGAGCAGGGTTATCTTTCTTGGTGGACAGGGTGAGTCAGAAAGGCAATTTCCTCACCTCCATTCATTGTCTTTGCTTCAGATGTCCTGCAATGGTATGCCTGGCATAACAAAGGCAAACTGTGGGTGTTTGAGGGTCTTTAAAGAGAGAACATGCTGCCCCCATGAGCAGGACACTATCTGAAGGAAGCATGATTGAGCCCAGAGCTCTACTGCTGGGACCGAGCAGACACTGGCTTCACAGGGGGCAAGAGATGCTGCAAAGGCGTTTGTCTGTAGGAGGCATTAGAATAAACCTGCAAGTCGACTTATTTCTGATCCATTGTAGATGCTGTTTAAATGGACACAGGTCAGGGCTTTAGGCTCTGCCCTATGTTCAAGTCCTTCTCAGTCACTCACAAGCCTTGTGATCCTAGGAAGGTCACTTAATCTTCATGAACATCCATTATCCCATTCATAAAATTGGAATAATTAATGATAGGGTTTGCTCTATAGGCAGGTATGGCAAGAGAATTGCGAGTTTGAATTTGGAGGCAACTTGGGCTACATAGTAAGACTCAAAAAAATAAAAAATAAAAAAAGAAAGGCAGGAAGGAAGGAAGGAAAAGGAAGGATATTTTATATTCTCATTGTGTTGGTTAGTTTTTTGTCAACTTGACACAAGCCAGAGTCATCTGAGAAGAGGGGACTTCTGTTGGGAAAATGCCTTCATAAGACTGGCCTGTAGCCAGACGTTAGTGGCACATGCCTTTAATCCCAGCACTAGGGAGACAGAGGCAGGAGGATCTCTGTGAGTTCAAGGCCAGCCTGGTCTACAGAGCAAGTGCCAGGATAGGCTCCAAAGCTACACAGAGAAACTCTGTCTCAAAAAAAAAAAAAAAATTGGGCTGTAGGTAAGCCTGTGGGCTATTTCCATGGCTAGAGGTTGATGTGGGAGGGCCCAGCCCATTGTAGGACAGGTGGTACTGGGTTGTATAAGAAAGCATCCTGGAGCAAGCTAAAAGGAGCAAGCCTGTAAGCAGCACCCCTCCATGGCCTCTGCATCAGCTCCTGACCTGACTTGACTTCCTCTCTTTATGGACTATAACTGTAAACTGAAATAAACTTTTTCCTCCCTAAGTTGCTTTTGGTATTGGTGTTTATCATAGCAATGGAAATCTAGTTAAAACACACACACCCGAAAGTAGCACGTAGTTAAATGGCCAGTAAGCGATCTCTGTGTATAAAAACCACTGTTGCTACTGGGTGTGTTCTTTTTTTATGTCTTTTTTAAAGATTTATTCATTTATTATGTACGTAGAATTCTGCCTGCATGTATCCCTGCAGGCCAGAAGAGGGTACAAGATCTTATTACAAGATGGTCATGAGCCACCATGTGGTTGCTGGGAATTGAACTCAGGACCTCTGAAAGAGCAGCCAGTGCTCTTAACCTCTGAGCCACCTCTCCAACCTCACTGGGTACATTCTTATCTTGTAGCTTCATATTGTGGATGTAAGCTCTGTGAGCCTCCAGTCCTTGTCGGGAAGGTGGGGCCAGTATTACCTGCCTCTCAGAACTGGTATAAACATTAAATGAGCTGCTGTGCAGTCTGGCTTGCTATACATACTCCATAGATGCTTTCTTTATCCCCACTCCACCTTTACCTGCCTCTTGGCTCTTGATTGACAGTGCTTCACTGATGTTCCATTCCAGGTGATTTTTAAAATTAAGAACACATTGTTGTTCGTATGTAATAATACATTGTGGGTGTGTAACATGTTGGTTACATCCAAACAGTCGAGGTTGGCATTGTACAAGTTTCCCTCAAAATATCCCCTTGGTCTCCCTCTGTTAGACCACCACCCACCAAGAACCTTGTCCTGAGTCTGGAGAGACACCCCAGCTGTTGAGATAGCATAGTCCTCTTGAAAAGAAGCCTAAATCTGGCTAGGTGGTGGAGGCACACCCTTAAATCCCAGCACTTGGGAGGTAGAGGCAGGCAGATCTCAGTGAGTTTTAGGTCAGCCTGGTCTACAAAGTGAATTCCAGGAAAGCCAGGACTGTTACACAGAGAAACCCTGTCTTGGAAAACCATTAAAAAAAAAAAAAAAAAGTCTAATTCTGTTGTCAGCACCCATGCCCCAGGGCTCACACCCTCCTATAACTCCATCTCCAGGGAATCCTACACCTATAGTCTCTGTGGGATCTGCTCGCATGAGCTCATGCCCACGTGCACATAATTAAAAAGATTAAAAGGTAGATCTTTAAAACCCTTCATAAACATGTCCCCCGCGCAGTGTGTGGATGGTTTGATGACTGATTAGGTACACATGTGACACCTCGTTAGCCTACAGGTCATTTGGTTTCCTTTTACCTTTTCCCATCAGTGGCTGCCTTACAGTCAATTGTTTCTCAGAGACTAAGATATGATCGCAATCTTTGCATAGTAGGACCACTTCCAGATGAATGGGGAAGGTTGACAACCTTCAGAGCTGGGAGAATCAGGGCTGCCGTCAGGGGGCGCCAGAGACCCTCGCCGCCACGGTGGGAGGAGCCCTATAAAAGCGTAAGGGGCTTTTCTCCAGGTGAATTCCAGGAGGCACCCGAGATCCTGGACCTAATCCAAGACTTTTTTCCCCTTCATTCTCTCTCCTCACCCCCGCCGTCAGACTCTGAGAGATGAGTATCCACGCTTCCACCTTCAGCCGGTGGCTTTGCCTTTCTGGGGATCAAGCTAACGCTCCCTGCAAGGGACCTATCTGGCTTCATGACTCCGTTATTACTGCCCCTTTCGATGCTATTACCCGAACCCAGGGCCTGGTCCACGCTTCTCAAGGATAGTTGTCAGACTTAAGCGTTTAATGACATCCGCTTGGGTCAAAGACTGGAGACAGGATCAAGTGTGGACCCGCACTGTCAACTTCAGAATCCCTGGGGACCTGGTCAGAAATGCCCATTCTCTCGGTCCTCCATTGTCAGTCTCTTGGGCAGGGAGGGGGCGTCCCTAGTGGGTGGCTGTGAGATGGCTGGAAGTGGACATCCAGTGGATGTGGAGGCGCAGCGCCGGAGTGCCGGAGATCTCCAGCTCCGGGTTCGCGGTCACGTGGGCTCTTCAGCTAACCACCCACCCCCTCTTCACCGTCTTTAAAAGGAAGACTCACTAACGCCGTTAGTCGCGGGTAATCTTTGCAGCCTCTCCAGCTGCTGGCCTTTTTGAAACCAACTCCCAGGTCCCTGTCTCTTGCTAGGCTTCTAGAACCACCCCTTGAAACTTCCCGGGAGTAGAGGGGGGCGGGCGAGGGGAGCCTGGCCGGGAGGGAGCTGCTTGTGCTGCGACTGGCATCCTTGGCACCCGGTCTGAGTAGAGTCTGGCAGTTCCAGCTGGGCTGAACGGCTGCTGTGAGTTCTGCGTGGGGACCAAGGAAAGCACGTGTCTGCTTTTAGAGAATGCCAGGTAAGTGCCCTTTGGCTCAGAGTGTGGTTTCATTGACTTTGTGTGGATTCCTGCAATGGGAAGCCAGCAATATTTAGAACAATAAAGGGGCAGAAGGATGGATGCAACTGCTTGGACACCACTGGAAACAGAAATTTTGCTGACTTTTGGGTTGGTTGTGTGAATATAACTGGTTTTTGTTTTTTGTTTTTTGTTTTTTTTTTTTTTTTTAAAAAAAAGAAAATTCCCGTGGTTTTCTTCCGTGGATTCCTGGTGGTGGATGAAATGATGAAGCTTTTTGCCTGAGTATCGTGGACCAGGGAAGATGTGCCTATTTCAGGCCGGTGATCACGGCTTGGTCATGGTAGTCCTTAGTCATGTCAGAAATAGATTTATCTTTTCTTTCTGGGTAGGCTCAGATACGTTAAATCTGATCTCTCTTATTTGCTGGAGAGGAATCTAACTGTTGCTTCTTCACGATTACCTGTGATAACTGTTTCACAGTGGAAGCAGAAAATTGGGTCAAGTGAATATTGTTTTTGTGTGTGAGAAACAAAACTTTGAATTTGAGTGGAGCTCTGTTCAGAAAGGAAGCTTGTTGGTAATTCTTACGTTTTAGAAGGCAGGTGTGTTTTGCGCAGCAAGCAGCACTCCAGAGGAAGAAGTTTTGTTTTGTTCTATTTCAAGTGTTTCCACTTGAAGTTTTGTTTCTGCTGTAATGATTCCACTCATGGTGATATTTCCTCTCTTTCCCTGTAAATGTTATTTAAAAAGTGAAAGGGAAGATTAGACTGCAGCTATATGGGGACAATGAAAAGAGTGTGATAAATGCTTAACTCACTTTCTTCTCCAAGAAAGCCTGTAGAGTGGCTCACACCCCCATGACATACCTTTATCTCCAAAAATATTTACATTACGATTCATAACCGTAGCAAAATTGCAGTCACTAAGTAGCAACAAAAATAATTTTATGGTTGGGGGTTCCCACAACATGAGAAACTATGTTACAGGGTCAGAGCGTTAGGAAGGTTGAGAACCACTGCTCTAACAGACGTTCTGTCTGAACTAAGTAAAAGGTCAATAAGTGTTAAAGCAGAAACTTTAGCATTCCATTTTATATTCGGTGGTTTTCTGGAGGAATCTGAAATTCTTATTTCAAAACCAGTGTTAAAAGGAACACTTTAAGTCTTGCTCAAGATACCTAAGTGTTTGAAATAAACAAAAAACACATGTAGGGCCATTTCAAGGAGGGTTTAGGAAGCCAAATGGTTCGAGTCAGAGTTGACATTCCTCAGAATGGATTTTTAATATACAAAGGTAAAACTCGGTACTCAGTTCAACCTATCAAATATATAATTTGCCTTTAATGGATGTTATGTCCTTTGTGAAGACTAAGTCACTGTAATTCAACAGGCCATGCCTTAAAATTTATTTCATGATAAAATTTTAGTTGATATTTCCAGTCATTTTATGGAATATATTAGGAAATGATTACATAAAATTCTGAGGAGTAAACATCAATCACTTGCTGGTAACTTTTTGTTGATTGTATGCAAAGCCCTTGAAAACTGAATGCGTGGGTATTAGGTCTCATAATTCAGTATTTAGTACATTGTGATAGACATTTGAAAAATTATGCTTATTGCAGTCTTGTTTACAGACAGTTGAATTTAAGCTTAAAAAAAAATACCACCCTGAGGGTTATGATAGAGAGGGATTAGCTGTCTCTCATTTTGGAAGATACACACATAGTTTTAAAGAGTTTCATGTAAGTCAATTATTAGCGGTCAGTTTTATGGTTATTTTAGAGTAAGTTTCTTTGTTCCTAACTTAAAATTGATTGGGGACCTTACTATTTTGCTTTGGAAAAGATACATGTGAAGGTAGTAACTGCTAAACAGAAACAGCAAGAATGCTTGGTGCTAAAAAATGTGTACCTAATGGTCCAGGGATGTGGCTCAGTTGGCAGAGAGCTTGCCTGGCATGTGCACAGCCCTGGCCTCCATCCACAGCATTGCATGAATCAGGCATGGTGGTGCTTGCCTATAATCCTAGAACTCAGAATATAGAAGCAGGAAGACCAGGGAGTTTAGGCTGCATAACAATTTTCAGGCCAGCTTGGGCTACATGAGATTGTGTCTTAGAGGAAAAAAAAAGGAGGAAGAAGAGAAATGAATTTATATGCATTTTTCTTGTCCAGGAAACTCTTTCTGGTGAGTGTGAGTTGGAATAGGATGCTTGTGGTCGGGGAGGAGGATGGACAGACAGGTGGAGGAAGAATGGAGGTAGCCTGTCGAAGTTATCCACATCTGCAGGCCCAGGATACGGCACTCGGGAGGTGGCATTTTGTTCACACACACGCAGCAGACAGGCTTCTAGCAGCCCGGCTATCCGGACTGCTTGTGGAGGTGGGCTTTTGTCAAACACAAGTTTAAAAAGTAAAATTCAGAATCACGTTTTCATGATCAGAAGTCATTTTATCTTAAACTGGGAATCCTGACTAATGTGTGACTCATCAGTGGACTAGTTTCACCTTCTTTGCCACACAGAAGGCTTTTCACTTGTGCCACTTCCTTTCTTCCTTGGGGCTCTGTGAAAAGGAGCATCCCACAATGTTTTCTCATTTCTGTGGAAAAAGGATGTGCAAGTTCAAGGAATTTATGTGGTTTGTCTAAGACCTGGTGTTTAGGCAGAGTGGAGCCTGGGACCCAGTGTTGTGTTCTGTCCACTGGTCCAGAGTACCCATGAATACACACTGGCTGGCTGGTAACTGACTTCTATCCATTAGCTGGATTTGTAGGTCTGTCTGCTCTTTGTGGAATTCTGGGTTATTTCCAGGGCCAACCTTATTCTTCTCCATAAATCCGCTGTCAATATTGGGGTTTTTCAAAGTTATTTATTTTTTGGCTTGAGATACAAAATGTGTTTCCCCAGCTAGTACTTTAGCACACCATGCATAACACCGAGTGTACGAAAGCTTCTCCAAGGTTGTGATTTAGGAAGAAAAGTTATCAGTGATCATGCTACTCATCATCCAAGATGCCCCTGACGAGTAGTCGTGATGTGAATCTGGATGTATCAAAAGCTGTTCAGCCAAAGGGCAACCCTAGTTCTAACTATCACTGTCCAGGAGTGGTTCTCAACAGGCCTGAGTGTACTGGGACTTGGTAGAAAAACTGGAGAAGTTGACTACTGCTGTGCTGGCATGTGAGATCTGTTTTCTAGGTGACATCATTGTGGCAGCCGACTGATGGCCTGAATGATCTTGACACTTGCCTTTCCATGGCAGGTACCTGACCTGAGGGTATGAAAATGGATGATGGGATTAACTCTCTGCTGTATTTTAAATTTTATGTTCATTTACCATCTGGATAAGAGAAAGTGTTTTTTTCAAGTTCATGTCTTTCCATGTGACTTCTCATTATTTTGTTTTTATGTATATGTGTGTGGGGGTACACATGGGCACACACATGTGTATGTGTGTGTGTGAGCACGTGCAAGCCTGAAGCCAACATCAAGTGCTGCTCTTCTTCAGGCACTGCCCACCTTAAAATCATATTTTATTATTTATTTATGCATGGGGATATACACATGCATATGCAATGTGGTACCTGGGGAGGCCTAAAGAAGGTGTCAGATCCTCTGGAGCTGGGGTTGTAGGCAGTAGTGAGCCACTTGGGCCCTCTGAAAGAGTAGCAAGCAGTCTTAACCACTGAGCCATCTATCTGTTCAGCGCAATTTAATCTATTTTTATCCGATGAGCGTTCTCATTTGTCTCCACCTTGTTTGTTTTTGAGACAGAGCCTGTCATTGGCCTGGTATGGACCATCATGAAGCCTTTTCCATGGATTCTTGGATTGAACTTGGATCTCCCTTTTGGCAGAGTAAACACTTTACTGACTGAGTTACCTCCTCAACCGGATGAAGGGGCTGGAGAGGTAACTCAGTTGTTAAAAGCACTTATACTGCTTTTTCCGAGGACCAGGTTCAATTCCTAGCATCCACATGGTGGTTCACAACCATCTGTGACTCCAGTTTCAGGAGATCTGATTTCTTTGGGTACCAGATATACACTCAGTACACAGACATACATGGGCAAAATACTCATACACAGAAAAATAAGAATAAGCAAATTTTAAACAAGAGGTCTGATGAGAAGAAACCACAGCCGAGGTTTCTGATGGTTGCTACATGGAGTCTGCTGAACTTGGAGGTAAAAAGTTAAGACCCTGTAGACTCACAATGCTAAAATTGTATCAAACCATTTATCATTTAATTATATTTTTGTTAACAGTATCTTTTTGAAGTCCTTTGCTCAGATTTATTTGAGTTTTACAGTTCTCTTGGCTTATGATTTCCTGAATTTAATTAACTTTTCATACAACAATTCAGAGCACTGTGTTTGTTCCTTATGGGTGGAGGTTTACCTTCAGAAAGATTCAGTGGAATTTTTGTGTTTTTCTATTTGTTGTTTGTTTGTTTGTTTGTTTTTTGTTTTGTTCTTGTTTTTAGACAGGGTCACAGTACCTAGCTCCAGATAGCCTGGAACTCAATATGCAGCTCAAACTTGCAGCTCTAACTCCTGCCTCTGCCATTCCAGTGGTAGGAATACAGGTGTTTGCCACCATGCCTGTATCATTCAGTAACACTCTGTATAGGAAGCCATAAAGGGCTGTGGCTGTGGCTTCAGTGGGTAGAGTGTTTGTCTAGCATGCACAAAGCTGGGCTTGATCCCCAGCACCACATATACTGGGCAAGGTTGTGTATATCTTTAATTGCAGACCGGGGGAGGTAGAAGAGCTCAAAGTCATCGTTAGTTACATAACAAGTTCAATACCAGCCTGGGTTACATAAAATATTAACTCAACAAACAAACTAACAAAACAAACAAACAAAACAAAACAAAAGTAGGACTGGAGAGATGACCTGGTGATTAAAAGCACAATTGTGAGGACCAAAGTTCTAATCCCGGCACCAAGTGTAATAAGTTAGATATCCCAAGCATGCTTGCAATCTCAATTTCAAGAGGGATGGAGATAGGAGACTATGGTTTTGAGCTTACATCATTACAGAAAAAAATTTGAGACCTAGGTTTAGGGAGAGAAGGAATAAGTGGGGATAGGATAGTGGAGTCACCCGACAACCCCTCTGGCCTGCATGGGTGTACACAGGTGCATGTACCTGCAAATACAGGTACACATACATGCATGTGCAGTGCACACACAAAGAAATATATAAATAAATCTTTAAAAAGGTGGTGTATGTTGCATGGTGACCATACTTATTGTTGAACATAATTTTTATTTGTTAAATTGGACTTGCCATTTTGGCTTTTTATCCTTTTTTTTTTTTTTTGAATGTTCAAGAAATTTAATTGTAATGACTACCTCCAAATTTTATGTATAAATCCAATCACTATGCATGTCAAGAGCTTATGTATTTTGCTCTCAGTTGTTAGAAAGTATGCTGTTTAAAGTACTCTAAATGTGCTTTGATTAAGGATTTGGCAGCATCAGATTTGCTCTGATGGTACAGTCAAACCATGCACTAAAAATGATCCAGGAGCTGAAATACTGAGGACGCAAGCACAGTGAGGGGTGGATGAAGATAGTCCCGAGGCTTGAGAGAGGCTATGCAGCTAAGAGCATTTGCATCTCTTCCAAAGGACCTTGTTATTATCCACCAAATTCCCCCTACCTTTGAATCTTTGGATTGCCTGTTCTGTTGGTATAGCAGTCGGGGTTAAATCAGAACATCCAATTATATATCTTCAACAGGGGAAGGTTTTCTCCTTTGGTTTTCCGAGACAGGGTTTCTCCGTGTAGCTTTGGAGCCTATCCTGGCACTCGCTCTGGATAGTTTGAGGCTGGCCTCAAACTCACAAATATCTGCCTGCCTCTGCCTGGGATTAAAGGTGTGCGCCACCAACGCCCGGCTCAACAGGGGAAGTTTAATACAAAGAAATACTAACTATAAGAAGAGATAAGCGAGGTGTGGTGGCACACACCTTTAGTTCCAGCATTTGGGAGGCAGAGGTAGGCAGATCTATATGAGTTCAAAGCCAGTCTGGTCTACAAATCGAGCTCCAGAAGAGCCAAGGCTACACACACACACACACACACACACACACACACACACACACACACACACACACACACACAGAGAGAGAGAGAGAGAGAGAGAGAGAGAGAGAGAGAGAGAGAGAAAGTACGAACTATGCAGAGATGCTTTTGGGCCCTTAGGGCTGAGGGAGAGTACCCAGTTGGTGAATATCCAACTCTGAAGGAGATTAGGACTTGCTGGGTAAGGTGAGGTTTGGCCATTGACTTGCAGTGATGTCGGGGGATTTAGAGGATCTAGGGTTGCTGATTAAGCACTACGTCCCCTCTGAAATGCAATTCAGTGGTTGGCGGCCAGTAACCAGGCCGTGCACACAAAGTGGGAGTCTGGGTTCCCTCAAGGGCAAAAGGCCTTCAGAGCATGTAAGCTGTCATGGTGACGAGTCTTGTGCAATGGATAACTGCAGTGTTCAGGTGCCTATGGAGAGGCCATTGCCATGCAGACTGCAAGGCTGCCAAGGGATTTCATTCTGGACCTTTGGCTGGGGCAAGTTCCACCCTGTATTCTCACATTCATACTGTCTGCCTCTGCCAGGGCCAGCAAGCTTCTTTGTCCCCCTGTATCTCTATAGCGCTCTCTACTGAGCTAACCAATGAGCTCAGTTTGGTCTTACAGGAATTCGGTTATTTTTTATTTTTATTTTTGTACAAGTCCTATATTGAAGGCTGCTTTTAAAGTTTAGAGGCAATAGACTGACAAAGTCATACTATGGCCAGACTGGGATAATTTCTCATTTTTGTTATTGTAGATTTATAGCAGATTTGGATATGTTAAAACTATAATAGTCTCACTCGATGGTGTTCCCTTTTAGATTTATTTTTTTAGTAACAGCTGATCTTATATATATTTATTTCATTTTGTGATAAATTATTGTGGCTAATTTTTTTTTTCCGAGACAGGGTTTCTCTGTGTAGCTTTGGACCCTGTCCTGGAACTAGCTCTTGTAGACCAGGCAGGCTGGTCTCGAACTCACAGAGATCCGCCTGCCTCTGCCTCCCGTGTGCTGGGATTAAAGGCGTGTGCCACCAACACCCGGCGCTAAATGTTCTTATAGTTGAGGCCTGGAGAGATGGCTCAGCAGTTAAGACCATTGGTTTCTTCTCCAGACGATCTCATGGTGTTTCAGAGCCTTCTGCAACTTCAGTCCAAGGAGATCCAGGCACCTCTGTAGGCACCAGGCACACAAGTAGTGCATAGTCATACAGATGGCAAAACATCTATACATATAAAGTAAAATAACAATGTTTTTAAAAAGTCCTTTACTTTAAAAGTTGGTAGCAGCAACAGTAAAGTAATAAAGACATGAATGAGGGAGGGTGTGGCTTTGTTAGCAGATGCTTGCCTAGCATGTGTAGGATCCTGGGTTCGATCCCTGGACTGTGCAGACTCAGCATGGTGGTGAATACATATAACCCCAGCACTTGGGAGGGAGTTAGAGGCAGGGGGATCAGAAATTCAAGATCATCTTTGACTACATAAGGAGTTTGAGGACAGCATGGGATACATAATAATCTGTCTCAAAAAATTAAGAACTCCCTCCCCCAAACAGTCAATGAAATAGAGAATGAGAGCTCCACACCTTATATTTACACCCCTCTGTAGGCAATGTTTTCATGTATATCTTCCAGGATATACTTGTAGTTGTGTGTTCTTGTGTGAGTGTGTGTGTGTGTGTGTGTGTGTGTGTGTGTGTGTGTGTGTGTGTGTGTGTGTATTGTTAAGATAATATGAATACTTGGATAAAAAGACAGAGACATACAGAGACAGACAGACAGAGAGAAAGCAAAAGAGTAGCATATGGGTATAGGGCATAGTGATATATTCTTTATGATTTATTAAAGTTTGCCTGAGGATTCAGAAAGCAAAGTCAGCCACAAGCCATAGAAGCCAGGCACATACTTTAAATCCCAACAGCCAGAAGCTAGGAGGTGATGGTACACACCTTTAATCCTAGGACTCAGGATAAAGAGGTAGACATCTCTGAGAGTGAATCAGTCTCAAAGAGAATTATAGCTCACACCTTTAATCTCAGGACTCATGAGAGGTATGTAAGACAGAAGCAAGTTCTCAGTAGGAGGACTTCATTCATTCTCCAGCCACACGGAGGAGAGGCAGAGTTTGAGACTTGGTGAAGAGCTCCTGTGTGGATCAGCACTTTCAGCCTGAGTTAGAGGTGAGAGCTAGTGGCTGGATGCTTTGCTTTTCTGAACTTTAGCTTGAAGCTTGAACCCCAATATCAGTATCTGGGCTGCGGTATATGTTTGCCTCCACAGACAGCTTTCAGGAAACCTCACTTCCCACCATGGGTTCTGGGATTGAACTCACCACCAGAGTTGAGCAGCAGACACTTTACCCACTGAGCCATTTTGCCCTGTGTTTTCTTTGTTTGAGCTATAGTATCATATATCCCATGTTGGTCTTGAATGCCTGACAAGAGGTTGACCTTGAACTTCTGATCCTTCTGCCTCTACATTTGGAATACTGGGTTTACAAAGGTTTTCCACAACCCTGGTTTATGCAATGCTGGGGATCAAAGTCAAGGCCTCCTGTGTGCGAGGCAAGTATTCTACCAACTACACTACATTCTCACTCCCACTTTTCCCTCCCCTCCCCTTCTCTCTCCTTCCCTTTAGACTGTGTCTCACTCTGTAGCCAAAACAGGCCTGGAACTAGAAGTCCCTCCTGCCTCAGCTTCCTTGAGCGCTGGGACTGTAGGTCAGCACCACCGTCCCTAGCAAAAATGAATACGTATTAGTTACACTTGTAGCTTGAACTAACTGAGCATCATTTGCTTTTCTTCGCAGGCATTACACCTGCCCGTGAGTCTCTGAGAACATAATGTCTGTCTGCATGTCTTCACACAAGGATTTTTCTCAGCTGCTACCTGTTCAAGACATGGATATCAAAAACTCACCATCAAGCCTTAATTCCCCTGTTTCCTACAACTGTAGCCAGTCCATCCTACCGCTGGAGCATGGCCCCATCTACATCCCTTCCTCCTACGTGGAGAACCGTCATGAATACTCCGCTATGGCATTCTATAGCCCTGCTGTGATGAATTATAGTGTTCCCAGCAGTGCCAGTAACCTGGAAGGTGGGCCTGTTCGACAGACCACAAGCCCAAATGTGTTGTGGCCAACTTCTGGACACCTCTCTCCTTTAGCAACCCATTGCCAGTCATCACTTCTGTATGCAGAACCTCAAAAGAGCCCGTGGTATGAAGCAAGATCACTAGAACACACCTTACCTGTGAACAGGTAAAGTCCTGTCTTCATCTAAGTGGTGGATGGCGGCATGATCCTCACTTTACAATTTAGTAAGAAAGACATATGTTAGACAAGGTCTTTATTTTGTCACTTTCTTAGGATACCTGAGACATACTGCCCTGTCCTATTCTGATAGCCTTGTTCTTATTAAAAAGTTGTGCTTATGGAGAAAGTTCACTGTGATGGATATTCTCTTTATGCAACAGACATCAAACTTACTTCAGCTTGGTTTTGGTGAAGGTGTTGGGTTTTAAATGTTTGTTTCTTGGGCGTTGGTGGCACACACCTTTAATCCCAGCACTCGGGAGGCAGAGGCAGGTAGATCTCTGTGAGTTTGAGACCAGCCTAGTCTACAAGAGGCAATTCCAGGACAGCCTCCAAAGCCACAGAGAAACCCTGTCTCGAAACACCCCCGCCCCCAAAATGTTTTTTTCTTACAGTCAGATTAGAGTCTTACTGTAAAATGACAGGTTACATACTGTTGATGACTAATTGTTCCCAAGATGAAAGTAACCATGGTAACACTACAACTTCTGTGAAGTGGCCATGCGAAGCCAGGAAAGATAACAGGCATAAGCTTTAGTGATGAGCCAAGGCAGTGCTTTGTAATGATCAATGAGGGACTAACTGTAGGATCCTACTGAAAATTTCTGAAGTTAAAGCAGATTGAACTCCAAATGCATGGCCAAATGACAGATTATTTCAGTCTAATTTGTAAGATTTTCAGCGTTAATGGCTGTGGAGGGAGAGGATAGTATATGAATAAGTGGTAGGAAGAGATGGGTTTCTGGAAGAGTACTAAGCTACAGCACACTGACGAGTAAATGCTTTGCCTGCAGGGTGTGGTGGTGCACTCCTTTGATCCCAGCATTCCAGAGGCAGAGACAGGTGGGATCTCTGAGTTTGGTCCAGCCTACATAGTGAGTTCCAGAACAGCCAGGGCTGCATAGAGATCTTGTCTCAAAAAAACCCAAAACAAATAAAAAATCATTACTTTCAGATATTGTCATAAAACTTAGAGCATATAGGAGCTAGAGTGTCCATCTCGGTGCTAGGGGTGTGTTTAACATTTATGAGGCTCTTGGTCCACGTCCCAGCAATCCAAAACCCAGCACCGCCAAGCCACCGCCGCCAAGCCCCAAACCAAACCAAAACAATCTTTGAGAAAATATTACACAATAATTAAATTTTTCTTCTTAATCTTTTTATTTGTTGGTAAGATAAACATAAAAACTGTGGGTTGCATCTGAAGATTAATGATTTTCACTTACATTTCATTTCAATGATGACTTTTTTAACCTCTTAAAAATCTCATCAAAGTCCTGCTAATATTTAGATAAACTTACCATTGGGAAAGTTTTCCATCATTTCTGAATTAGTCATACTTTCACCATCTCCCTTCCCAGAAGAAACATGTCTTAGCAAAATCAGCCCCTAGGGGGCGGGTGCTGCTGCCCCTAATGCTCCTCTGTGGGGCTCTTCTTCCAGCCCAGAGCTGCCACCTCCTTCAGTCTCCTGAGGACCTGTCCACACCACCTAAACACTCAGATGTCAGTCAGCCCCACACTGGGCTCTTTGTGATCCAATGGCGTGGTTTCCTGGAACAGATTTATCCCTAACCCTGGAAAGCAAACTTTACGTTTGGCAAAGTTCATGCAATCTATTTATTTATTTATTTATTTATTTATTTATTTATTTATTCTTTTCTGGAAACCCTTGCTCTTTCTTTTGTGTCCTTTTACAATGCCTGTTTTCTCTGCTTTCCCAGAGAGACACTGAAAAGGAAGCTTAGCGGGGGCAGCTGTGCCAGCCCCGTTACTAGTCCGAGTTCAAAGAGGGATGCTCACTTCTGCGCAGTCTGCAGCGATTATGCATCTGGGTATCACTATGGCGTGTGGTCCTGCGAAGGATGTAAGGCCTTTTTTAAAAGAAGCATTCAAGGTACAAGACTACGACACACCACTTCTTTAGTTTTCACACTTTGACTTGCAAGCAATTTTGCAGAGATGGCCTGATTGATATAAGTGTCACTGTTGGCCTGGCTGGTACACTTCATGAACTTGAGCAACTCCGATGAACATGTGTGTTAGGGAGTGGGTTGAGTGGGGGTGCATGGGTTCTTGGATTGCATGTTTCTACCCCAGAACCTCAATATTATAGGGGTCGGTTTACCACTACACCACCTGACTGGGGAAGGGGGCTGTGCAGAAAAGGAGGGAAGATATCTGTTTACAACCCTGTAAAGATACTGTTTGGAAAAAAAAAATCTGTGCTCCCCGGGAGCTCTGAGGGGTGTCTGTCTGTCTGTCTTTGTTTTTTTTCTTAGGTTTAATATAGGTTTGATGGTGGGCTGGCTCCTGAGGGAAAGAGAAAGGAATTAACTGTAGTGAACTTGAGAAGTATGTCATCCTTGGACTCGTGGTCGCCTTTGCAAACCCCTAGTTTTCAGTCTGGCATCAGACTATCTCCTTGACCTTCGCTAGAATCTTTGCTGGCAGTTATTTACTTGGTGTGTACTTGTCCATGATGTGCTTTCTGCTAAGACATTTTTTCACTGTGTTGTGTGTCGGGAGGAGGGCATACGTGTGGCGATAAAGGATAATGTGCTGGAGTCGGTTCTTCACTGTGTGGGTGGGTCTCGGGGCTTGAACTCAGGTCATCCTGCTTAGCAGCAAGCGCCTTTACCCACAGAGCCTTTGGGTTTGCTTTGTGTGCTTGTTTGTTTAATAACATTCTTAATAAACTTTAAGCTGTGAATGCCTGGCTTCAAGGCTACTCAACCTGACTGTCTTTGTTGCTTCTCCCTCATCAGCAGTCTCTCCTTCCAGCCCTCATGCACTGAAGTCAGTTATTTTTAAAGATAGTTATTCTTTATGTGTACGGAAGGGTGCATGTATTCATATGTGCATGTGCATGGAGAAGTGCATGTGTGCATATGTGCATGTGCATGGAGAAGTGCATGTGTGCATATGTGCATGTGCATGGAGAAGTGCATGTGTGCATATGTGCATGTGCATGGAGAAGTGCATGTGTGCATATGTGCATGTGCATGGAGAAGTGCATGTGTGCATATGTGCATGTGCATGGAGAAGTGCATGTGTGCATATGTGCATGTGCATGGAGAAGTGCATGTGTGCATATGTGCATGTGCATGGAGAAGTGCATGTGTGCATATGTGCATGTGCATGGAGAAGTGCATGTGTGCATATGTGCATGTGCATGGAGAAATGCATGTGTGCATATGTGCATGTGCATGGAGAAATGCATGTGTGCATATGTGCATGTGCATGGAGAAGTGCATGTGTGCATATGTGCATGTGCATGGAGAAATGCATGTGTGCATATGTGCATGTGCATGGAGAAGTACGTGTATGCATATGTGCATGTGTGGAAGGGTGCCTGTGCATGTGCATGTGTGGAGGAGCACATGTACATGTGTGTGGCGTGTGTGAGCACATATGCATGTGTGTGTGTGCATGTGTGTGGTGCCCACAGATAGACATGTGGTATTTTCTCCTATTGTTGTCAATCTTCATTTGTAAAAGACTGTTTTACTTTATATGTATGAAGGGTTAGCCTGCATGTATGTGTGCACCATGCACATGCCTGGTGTGCCGGGAGGTGTGCCGGAAGAGAGCATCAGATTCCTTGGAACTTGGAGTTCTAGATGGTTGTGAGCTGCCGTGTGGGTGCTGGGAATTGAACCCGAGTCCTCTGTAAGAGCAGCAAGTGTCCTTAACCACTGAATATTCTCCCCAGCGCTCTGTATCTTTATTTTTTGAACAGTGCCTTTTGCTGAACCTGGAGCTTGTGGATTAGGCTGGACTGATTGGCCAGGCAAGCTATTGGGATCCTGCTGTGTCTGCCCCCACTGTTGGGATCATAGGCATGGAACACCTAGGTGCTGGCACTCTCGATCTGAGTCCCCATGCTTTCCCATGGGCACCCGACTCACTGGGGCATCTCCCTCCCCCCAGCCACTTCCTCATTGGCTTCTTTCTGTTCTGTTGCTCTGTCCTCTCCCTTGCAGCTTCCTCTCGGTGGTCCCTGTCTCAAAGGTCCTTTTCTACCCACACTGCAGGGCCCAGTTTTCAGCTAATTAACAATGTGGGATTATTAGTGTGAGGGCGACAAGTTAAGTTTTCAACTGATAATCCTAGATTAATAGGACACTTACCACAAACAGAGAAAGACTGGTGACATCCGAAGGCTGGGGTTGGCATGGAGTAAAGAGCCATCTCTCTATGTCTCTATATTTCCCTGTACAGATGGCCGTCTGTTTGTCCTGGCTCCTTTATTACCTCTACGACTTTACCACCACCCTGCGTCCTCTTCAGTACAGTGGAAGTATCTGTGGTGTGGTAGTGGTGAAATATATTCACTAAGTATTTTTATTTGTGGGTCACTGCAGTAATAGATTAGAAAGCCAGATCTAATTCCCCACTATATGGTCAGAACAATTCAGATTTTCTGAAATTCGTATTTGAAAGTTTTTTGTTTGTTTGCTTGAAAATGTAGTTCAGGCTAGTCTAGAACTCTGCATAGCCCAAGCTAGTCTCAAACTAACAAAGATTATTCCCTAGGGCTGGAGAGATGGCTCAGTGATTAAGAGCACTGGCTACTCTTCCAGAGAACCTGGGTTCAATTTATAACACCACATGGCAACTTTCAACCATCTGTAACTCCAGTCCCAGAAGATCTGATGTCCTCTTCTGGTCTCCATGGGCACTGCACACATGTAGTAGACAGACATATATGCAGGCAAAGCACCCATATACATAAAAATCTCTTAAAGATATTCACTATTATATGTGTGTCATGTGTGCATATGTGTGTGATGTGTGCTTGTGTGTGTGATGTGTGTGTGTATGTATGTGTGCGAAAGTAGTGGTCTGAATGGAGAGGGCAGAGACAAACCCATGTCTCCAGGTTTGCATGACAGTAACTTTTACCAGTTGAGCCATCTTGCTGCCCCCACCTCACTTTTTGAGACAAGGTCCCTCACTGATGTTAGAACTCACAATTTGGTTAGAATATCTGTCCATTGAACCTCAGGGATCTTCCTGTTTCTGTCTCCCCAGCACCCTGCCTCACTGTTCACATAGGTACTGGGGGCTCAAACTCAGGCTTTGTAGCCAGCTCTATACTGAGTGAGTCATCCTCTTTTTCCTGAGTCCTGAGGCTCCAGAATTACTTCTTATGCTAGAGTGCTCATCATGGGTTAAGAACACTTGTTGCTTTTTTTCTTTTTTTTTTTTTTTTACTACTTTATTTAACTTTATTTTATGTGCATTTTGGTGTAAGGATACCAGAACCCTTGGAACTGGAATTACAGACAGGTGTGAGCTGCCATGTGGGTGCTGGGAATAGAACCCGGGTCCTCTTGAAGAGCAGCCACTAGTCTTAACCACTGAGCCATCTCTCCGGCCCCCAGAATTACTTCTTAAAGGACCTTTGACCTATTGCAAGTAGCTATCGCCTTAAAAAGAAACCACTCTCTTTTGCTGTACAGGAAATACATGGCAGCTTGGAATATCTGTGGACCTTGAGGTTATAGCTTCCCATTGTTGACAATAAAATTTCCTTGTTACTCTTTTCTGTCATGTCAGCCAGGATGCCATATTCCAAATATGCACAAAGGAAAGTTAATGCCCAAACAATCCTTTCACTGGACTCTTTATATATTTGGCACAAGTAGTTTGCAATAACTGAAAATTGCTGCATAGTTTCTTAAAACAGCCTCAGATGGGCCAGGATGTTACACCAGTAACTTCAGAGGTTGATTGCATTGAACTTTAACCTTTATTTTCATTTTTGAGACAAGGTCCCAGGTAGCCCAGGCTGACCTTGAGCCCATTATTTAGCCACAGGCTTCTTCATGCATTCCAGGCAAACTCTACCAACTATGCTATGCCCCCAACACACAGTGTGGTTTTTAACACTTAACATTCTTTCATTTTCATGGCTTTCTTTCTTTTGTTCTCTCTCTCTCTCTCTCTCTCTCTCTCTCTCTCTCTCTCTCTCTCTCTCTCTCTCTCTTTCTTTCTTTCTTTCATTTTTTTTTTTGAGACAGAGTTTCTTTGTGAAACAGTCCTGGCTGTCCCGGAAGTCACTCTGTAGACAAGGCTGGCGTCAAACTCACAGAGATTCGCCTGCCTTTGCCTCCCAAGTGCTGGGATTAAAGGCATGTGCCACTACCGCCAGCCATTTTCATAGTTTTCAACTTTCCTTACCACCTTGTTTGGTAAGTTGCTTGCCCATGCACTAGTGCACTGGAGGCTGTGTGGTGCTGGCCTCCCATCAGCACTGGCCTTGCTGACCTCTTCAGATAATAAGTCGCCAGACTCCAAATCCTGCTGTTTCTCTCCTGGGCTACAGAGCACAGAGAAGGGATCATGGAGGGAGGCCACTTGTCATTTCTGGTCCAAATTAAGGCATAGCTTTTTGTTTTGTTTCGTTTCTGAGACAGGGTGTCTCTGTGTAGCCTTAATTGTCCTGGAATTTGCTTTATGGACCAGGCTGGCCTCAAACACAGGCAGATTTGTCTGCCTCTGTCTCCCAAATGCTGGGATTAAAGGCGTATGCCACCACTGACAGGTAGTTTTCTTTTTTTTCAGTTAAGCTTATTTTTAAAAGCCTTCTTTCAACAAATATTTACAGGAACTGTGTGTTGTGTTTTGTTCACTGCTAGAGCACAATAGATTCTTGAAAGATGAATTTGTAAAAATTATTGGGCTCACACTATGTATGCACAGAGCTTCATGTGTATGTGTTGTGTGTGTGTGTATTTGTGTATATGTTCATATGTGTGAGTGTGTACAATACCCATCTGGAAGCCAGACATTGGGTGTTTTTCTGAATTGTCCTCCACCTTATTGTTGGAGCCAGGGTTTCTTACTGAACCAGTATCCACCCAGAGAGCTGGAGGTTCCTCCTGTACC